TAGTCTGGTACCAATCTTTGTAGGCCGAGCTACGTCAAACGAGACGTTCCACGTTGCTAAGACGCGCACTACTGTACCACGTAATTCTATGGGCTCTGCGCGCGCAGCTGAAGGAACGCGGAATGCCGAGCGAAGAGCCGGTGAAAATTCGAGAAAACAACAGAAACTCAACTTTGAAGTAATCCTGAAAAATCAAATTTATATGCGTTACACACGCAGGGGTCATCTTGTTACACTGTTCAGAGGAGTCTCAACAACCATCCCAAATTACCGTTTTCTGAGAGTTTTCGGCGTTTGTTTTCACCGTGATGGTTGCCATGCGATGAAAATGCCCGGATGCCCCCTTCCGAGAATTGGGATAACAACCATACAGAAGGGCCGGGGGACTTACTAGAATTAATTTTATTAGACCTACGTATAGCTTTTGATTTTGTAGGCCACACAGTTTTACTCGGTGAATTATCAAAGCTATTACTTTGCTCACATCATACTTACAAATACCAATTTAACAATCAAGGGTTTCCATTTTGAAAATAGACCTGTGACTGCTTGGTTCCCAAAGGGATCTATTCTATGTCCTTTATTTCTCATATTGTTACTCAGTTTAGGGCTTATCATCGGGTTGGTCAAAACTATTTTGGTTACAGAAACATGCATTCGTCTAATTCTTGATTTCTCAGGCGGACACTCATCTTAAGTTTTTTTTAATCTGTTCGTTGGTTACTATTACATGATCTTGTACATTGTCGCATAACAACTTTAGAACAGGAGATTAGTCAATCGAATAATATTCATATTTTTAAACACAGATATTAAAAAAAAATCCTTGATGCATTTTAGATTGCACTTGTATATAGCTTGTTAGTCATTTTGATTACTTTCTCTAGTTGTGTATTATTATTTTTTGATGCCGTGGGGGGAGGGGGTTGATAAGTGAAAACTTTATTAAAGTGTATTAATATTATTAACAAAACTAGTAATTGTGGCTTCTCTAAAACTACCCTCTGTTTAGAAGAAACCCATACCACGTGACCAATCACAGAGAGATTCGCGAAACAAAACAAAAAAACAAAATTCTTATTAATATGTCCAGTGGTTCTGGAGAAGAATTTACAAGTGTTTTGTTGAAATAGGTAGCCCGTATATCAATAATGCTACTACGAAAAATTCACAATGCCTAGACCATCAGAAATGATTCAAAATGGACATTGCCTGTTAAATTCAAAATCATGGCTGT